TAATTGCATTAGAGATCGAATTGAATGATTTCCAAATGTTACATTGATTAGAAAAAATTATATTTATAGAATGTATGGCAAAAAACTTCATTGACTATAAAAAACTTGATTGACTGTATAAAAAAATGTTTGTTTCTCTCTCCCTCACTATCTATCTATCAATATATATATATATATATATATATATATATATATATATACACACACACACAAACACACACACACACAACACACACATATATATATATATATATATATATATATATATATATATATATATATATATATAAGTATTTCTGTAAAAACATTAGGTATATGCAAAATATTCCGTTGCTTTTTTTATATTTATAGAATGTCTGGCGAAAATCACTGATTATATAGCAATGCAAATTATTGTCTTTCTCTCATCCTCACCTCACTCTCCATCATATATATATATATATATATATATATACACACACACATATATATATATATATATATATATATATATATATATATATATATATATATATATATATATACACACACATACACACACACACATATATATATATATATATAAAAAATATTAGGTGTCTGTAACAGTTATCAGCGCTTTGTGCGTGAGGAAAGTAGGAGACTGCATTGTAGAAAACAAGTGCTTTTGTTGGCTACATCCGATCACACCGCAAACATCTTTTTACAAATACATATAAATAAAACGTCTGCTTTCATTTTATATACTATATAGAGTTTCCGTAGCTATCCATCGAGTTATCATTTTAAGTCTGTTCATATCTATCTATCTATCTATCTATCTATTTATTTCTAAGTCCGTTCATATCTATATATGTAGCTATCTAATATTTATCTCTCTCGGTCTCTCTCTCTCGGTCTCTCTCTCTCCCTCCCTCTCTCTCTCTCTCTCTCCAAGTTTGTTCATATCTATCTATCTATCTATCTATCTTTCTTTGTTTCTTTCTAAGTCTGTACATATCTATCTACTTATCTATATATGTAGCTATCTAACTCAGCCTATCTGTCTCACTGTCTTTCTCTCTCTAATCTGTTCATATCTATCTATCTATCTATCTATCTATCTTAATATGTATACATCTTTTTTCATCTGTTTATATCTATTTATCTATCTTTCTATGTCTGTCTCTCTCCTTCTTTATATACATAGACAAACACACACAGGTATATATATATATATATATATATATATATATATATATATATATATATATATATATATATACAGAATGGAGTTAAAGCATCATCCATATTAAGATATACAAATCTAAGACACATTTGTAAATACATTGATGCATGTGGCATACATAACCATACATTTTATTCTATGGAGGCATTTATATGCATATTTATAGATAGGTCGGTTGGAATCTCTGCATCTCTTAATGCGTCGATGTAAATTGTATCCGATATTTGTTGTATCGCTCCCATCACCTTTCCGATTCCTCCTATATGTAAGATTCACCCAGTAAAACATGATTAGTCTGTCGGAGTTCCTTCTCGGATCGAAACATTTCTTTTCATTTTTTATACATACATACATACATAAATACCTCTAAAGATGTGTCTATAAAAATAATTTGACGCATATATACACATACTGAACTCCTAAAAATTACATTTAGTTTGTTCCTTGATATATATATATATATATATATACAGAGAGATAGGGATACTTGGGGATAGTAGCCATAGCTTGTGGAGGCACAGTCCTATGGGTAAAATAGAAACTCGTAGAAGTTCCACCACGGAATATGTGATCGAGCGGCGCTCTATCGAGTCTAATTCGTTACTTCTTCGTTACCAAGAACCGTTGGTACAGTTGGTATGGCGTTTGCTCTCTATCGTAACTATTCGGGTTTCAATTCTGCTGATGAGTCCCTAATATAGGACGAAACGGCCGTCCAGTGCTTTCAGCATTTTGTTGTGGTTTCTGCTAGACTCTTTGAATTATGATATATATATATAGTGAGAGAGGGTTGCTTGGATATTAGTTCGCGACCTTGGGTTTCAGCTTTTGTGATCATCAGACTAACTGGTTTATTTTTTTAAAAATGGATCTATTTATGCTTATTCATTAAAAATGAACTGATTTAAAATATGGTTCCTTTGCTATTAGGAATTATATATTAAAAAACCGAAGCTAAAAATTAAAAAGTTAATTATATAATTAAATTAAAAGCATTAGTTCTGTTTCATCTTCAAGCGATTATATAATTAAATTTGAAGTTTTTAGCTTCGGTTTTTGAAACATGGTAATTTCTGTGTAGCGAAGGAAACGTATTTTAAATCAGTTAATTTATAATATTTTTGCTCTGTAAATTTACATTGAGCACTGTTTTGTAAAATTAAAAATATCAATAAGAACACCGGATTATATATCTTACTGTTCTTTTCTAATATATATATATATATATATATATATATATATATATATATATATATATATATATATGTTTAACACGCAGACTCACTCTACACCTTTTAGACTATAGCTCAATTAGATCTCATTTAAATATTCATGGAGACCTACCGGACATTATTCGTAACATGCTTGTTGACAACACTAATATAATAGCATCATCTACATGTAAAAAAAGGCTAAAATTAATGGAAGCCTTATTAATAAAAACAAATAAAACATCACTTAATAGTATTAACTTTGAAAATTGACACAATATCTTGACTTTGTTTTGAAAAGTGAAAACTTTTTTTTTATAAAACATAGATACAACAAACTATTTCTTATTTAACAGTTAAAATATTTAATCCTTGAAAATGGCTAAATGTATAGCCGTAAGAGAGAGAGAGTGTGAGAGTGAGAGAGAGACAGAGACAGACAGACAGAGAGGGGGAGAGAGAGAGAGGTAGATAGATAATTTATATGCATATATGAAAACGTCCGTACGCTAATTCGTTCTCAATCAAACATTTTTTATGCATTCTTTTTTCATAGTCCCGGCGTGGGGAGTGTCTTTCACCTTACCCACACAACCGGATAAACATTCTAATCTAATTCCTGCTCGTCTCATTAAAAAGTGGCTTCATTTTTCATGTCCTCCTGATTGATGCAGTTACAATAATAATAATGATGACAATGATTTTGTCAAGAATTGATCATCGTTAGATTATACGTGAATATTCTGAAATGGATTTGGTCCTGATGTGGGTTTTCGTCACATATTCGCCAGTGATTACCGCGTCTCACCTAGTGCAGTTATGTACATACCCTGAATAATAATAATAATAATAATAATAATAATAATAATAACCCGTACCCATCAGTGGCTACGTAGTGCAGGGTTGAAAGCTGAAACTGAAGGTTTTATAATTGCTGCATAGGACCAGTGCTTGTTAACTAGGAATTATCAAGCACATATACTAAAATACTGTGTTAGCCCAACATACATATTCTGTGATAAATATCCAGAAACAATTGATCATCTTGTATCAGGTTGCACGATATTGGCACCCACTGAGTATAAAACCCGGCATGACAGAGTGGGCCAATATCTGCGCTGGAAAATATGCATCTTCTACGGGAAGGAAACTGAAAGAAACTGGTATGAACACCACCCAGACCCGGTTACGGAGATAGGACCTGTTACAATTTTTTCGAACTACACAATACACACTGACAGAACAATCAAAGCCAACCGCCCAGACATTGTTATTAAAGACCACAAACAAAAAAGTGCCTCCTTATTGATATGGCAGTCCCTGCAGACTGCAATGTATCTTTGAATATATTCAAAAAGCTGTCAAAGTACAAGGACCTTGAAATAGAAATCTCGAAAATGTGGCACATGGGAACATCAACGATCCCTATTGTAGTTGGAGCCCTCGAATTGGTTGGTAAAGACACCGGCAGACTAATTGAAGGGATTCCTGGAAGTCTATGCCTTAAAGAGATACAAAAAATTGTTCTGACAAATACAGCCCACACTTTACAAAGGGCTTTATCTATGTAATTTTTTTATTTTTTTTTGTTAGTGGAACGTGTCATGATGCCATTTCTAACCTTAGGTCTCTGGGCAGGACCCGGAAAGAAATGATTATATACTAGAAATCAAAGGAAATAAAAAAATAATAATAAATGGCAATAATAATAATAATAATAATAATAATAATAATAATTATTATTATTATTATTGAAATAGCACAACCATCTGAGAGAAAGACCCTCATTAAAATTATCGAGAAATTGTTCAAATTCGAAGACGTGAAAATCGGGATTAACAGGATTTAGAATGAAGACTGCGACTTTACTAATAGTTATCGGTGCTCAGGGTCTCATGAGAAAAGGAATGGACAATTTTTCTAATAGTGTCCCAGGTAATATCAAAAGAATTACCCAGAAGATCGTCCTACTGGGAACATTCCTTAAAATAAGAAAAGTGCTATCATTTAAATGATAACTCTCCTATAGGGCCTAATGACCATAGTTTGGACCCAGCTCTACAGGATACAAAGAAGGAAACATAACATACAGAAATAATAATAATAATAATAATAATAATAATAATAATAATTACCGATCTTCAAGCTTATGGGCTCTTTTTATCAAAACATGCCACAATATCGCCCACATTTGCTTGTGCTGTGTGCACACTGTGTGTCAGACGGTGTGTCATGTTGTTGTGTTTCTCACACTCTCTCAATAATAATAATAATAATAATGTGAGTTTGTGTTTCAAGCTCAGTTTAAGCCAGAAGACCATATCTGATCATCGTATATAAAACAATAAAAGACAAAATAAATAAAGAATTCATTCATTCATTATTATTTATCAACCCTTTGCAGGTTATTGAAAGATAGAAAATATTTTTAGATTGTAAGATTTTTTGAAGATAATAATGGTTTATTTATAAAAAAAACAAAAAAAAACTTAAAGAACCATATCTGTGGAGAGAAGAAGCGGAATCATAACTGTGGTATTTTCGGTTAAAGGAATATAACGAAACCGGCCGGAATTTGAACTCGGATATCCGATTAACAATTCCGAGCCACTATCCATTACACCGAATGCACGTACAAGCTTACAGCATCTGATATTCCCAAGCGGTCACCCATCCAGTTACTATCCAGGCTCGACGTTGCTTAACTTCGGCGATCATACAGGAACCAGTGCTTCAACGATTTTTTGGCGATTGGCTTGCTCGGTACCCGATGTTCGATATTTTGCGTCTGAAAAATATGGCTTTTATTGCTGTCGCCACTGCCTCCCTAGGGACAGCCAATTACATTTTATCTCTCAATTGTGTTTCTGTCTTCGGACAGAGCGCAACTCAGTTGAGTCTTTGCCTGCGGACAGAGTTCAACTGAAAATATTATTGACAGGTGCCCAGTACTGGGAAACAGCTGCTCGTGACAGTACTTCCCTCATTGCACTGATGATGGGCTGCGTTGGTGTCGGAAGTTATACCAATGCTAGCGCAACCGACGGTAGCGGAGGCTGGGGGTATTTTTGACCCCGGCCCGGTTATAGGCTCTCGGTATCCCTACATTAAACTGACCTTGTGTCACATCCTGCCAGTGTGGGGCGGCAAGTAAATACAATCGCCTCTCGGCCTTTTGGCTAAGATCAAAGTGTACTATCTGTTCTTATGAGTTTAATCTGATTCTCTCTCTCTCTATCTCTCTCTCCCTCTCCTTTCTTCCTTTTTTTTCATTTTGTCACAAGAAACAAGTAGTGTATTTTCTCCACTTTCCACACGATCAAAATTGAATAGTTTATTATCTGTGAGGTAGTGGTAGGGCGTAATGGTTGCGCAAACTAACGCTTGAAGGGAGAAGCACAATTGTAATCGGCTAATAATAATAATAATAATAATAACAGTATTACACTGGAATATGTGTCAGTATTACAAGTCGAAAAATGTTTGAATATCAACCATCAATAATCACCATAAATAATGAAGTTACTAATAGATCATATATTGCGATTAAAAGCTACAAAGGAATGATTTCCCATAGATATGTCATAAGATACCAATAAAACTAATTTTATATCTACAGTAACTACAGCTCTGGGTATTGTAAAATTGATAGACACATAAACATTAAAAGAAATCCTGGTAGCCTCAACTAGCATTTTTTTTTTAATCAGTGTCACACCAAGCAAGTGTACTAACTTGCTTGGTGTGTCACTAACACACAAGGGGTTACAGGTTGTGGACGAATTAGGATCAGTAACATTAGTAATGATAAGAAAGAGAAAAGAACATTAAAGAGAACAGTAGATTGTATTTAAATTCTTGAAGATGAAAGTTGGCGGGAAAACATGGAGACGGATGGAATTTTCACAAACGACAAGTGCGGGAAAAAAACTGTTAGCGTAGAAGTTACAGCGACATCGAGCTAGCTGAACTGATTAAAAAAAACTGCTCATTCCGTTAGGTGACTATTATCAATTTAACACTTTGAGCCCAGCTTTTCTGATCAATTTTAAACCATTCTACTTGAGCTCCGAATTCAAAATTGACTATTGTCAAATTAACACCTTGAGCCCTGCTTTTCTGATCAATTTTGACCATTCTGCTTGAGCTCCGAAGTCAAAATTGACTATTATCAATTTAACACTTTGAGCCCTGCTTTTCTGATCAATTTTAAACCATTCTGCTTGAGCTCCGAAGTCAAAATTGACTATTATCAATTTAACACTTTGAGCCCTGCTTTTCTGATCAATTTTAAACCATTCTGCTTGAGCTCCGAAGTCAAAATTGACTATTATCAATTTAACACTTTGAGCCCTGCTTTTCTGATCAATTTTGACCATTCTGCTTGAGCTCCAAAGTCAAAATTGACTATTATCAATTTAACACTTTGAGCCCTGCTTTTCTGATCAATTTTAAACCATTCTGCTTGAGCTCCGAAGTCAAAATTGACTATTATCAATTTAACACTTTGAGCCCTGCTTTTCTGGTCAATTTTAAAGCTTCTGCCTTTGCTCTGAAGTCAAAATTCGCAAATAATTGGTATATAAAGTTTCACGGTAGATATAAAAATAGTTACAAGTGCTTACCCACCGTTTAACCGGTGACTGGGCATTACGACATTTTTCTCTACCACCGGTAAACCGGTGTTCAGAGCTCAAAACTTTAAAGAAAATACGAATACTGTATATGTGAAGTATTACTTAATATTAGAATTTGTGAAAACAATGTATATATTTACTACATGTAAGAAACTGTACTATACGGAAAGAAAACATTTTAATCATAATAATAAAGGAATGTTAAGTTTGGAAAGAAGTGCAAATAAACCATAATGGACAAACTGTAGCGTGAAAGAACCTAAAAAGAGAGCAAAAGTAAATAGAATATTTTAAATGCAAAAACGATGGCCAGATAAGCCACTTCATGGTTAATATTTTGCCCGTACCAATGTAGTTGATTTAGACAAACCCCGTCCCAATCAGTAGTTACGTAGTACAGGGTTAAAAGCTGAAACCAAAGGTTTTATACTTGCTAAATGGGACCAATGCTTGCTAACTAGAAATTACCAAGCACCCATACTGAAAAATTGTGTTAACCCGAAATGCAGATTCTGTGATAAAGATCCAGAAACAAGTGACTTATACCCTGTTAACGCTCACAGAATATAAAACCCGGCATGATAGAGTAGGTAATACCTGTACTGGAAAATATGCAACTTTTACGGGAAAGAAACTGCAAGAAATTGGTATAAACATCCCCCAGACCCGGCTACGGAGATAGGATCTGTAATTATTTTATGGGACGCTATAATACACATAGATAGACTAATCAAAGCCAATCGCCCATCATGATCAAAGACCGTAAATACAAAATGTTGTTTCTTATTGACATGGTAATTCCTGCAAATCGTAATGTATATTTGAAGTTCTTTAAAAAAAAAACAACAAAATGCAAGGATCTTGAAGTAGAAACCTAAAAAATGGGGAAGATGAGGACATCAACAATTGCAGTTGTATTTGGAGCCCTCGGATTGATTAGAAAAAGGTTCCGATAGACTCATTGAAAGGATCCCTGGTCTAACCATGCCTTAAAGAAATACGAAAAAATTATAATCACAACAGCTAACACATAACGAAGAGCTATATATATATATATATATATATATATATATATATATATATATATATATATATATATATATATATATATATATATATATATAAAAATATATATATATATATATATATATATATATAAACAAAAATCATAGATAATCTCCAAATGTAGGCATGAGAACAAGTACCTATTATCCGAATTCATACCAAACGGATAAAAAAGACAAACCACCAACAATTACAATTTAATTTCAAGATACCATCAAAATAATCGCATCTATCGTTATTATCATTGCACCACCATTAGTAATCACTTTTACCACTTTACAATAACTATTAACTAATAATATTATCATTACCACCAACACCCAGCACCATCACTTACACATCACATCTACTATTAACATATAAATCCACTATAATCATTAATGTATATTACTCCCCCAGCATATTTAATATTTTAATAAAAAAAAAACAAAAAAACCCCAATAAGATGAGATATAATTTCCATATGTAACCATGAGAATAAATACTCATTACCAGGATTCATACCAAAATAAATAAAAATATACAAATAAATATAGAAAATAAAATAAAACACCAACAACCACTCTTTAGTTCAAGCTAGCACCACAATAATTGCATTTATAGGTTTTTATTATTCTCCCACCAACATTACTAATCACTACTAACAATTTACAATAAATATTAACCACTTATATTATCATTGCCACCAACCCACTTACACATTACTATCACACCACATCTACCATTACCATATAAACCCGCCATAATTATTAACGTAAACGACCCCCTCTCCCAGCATATTTAATACCACCATAAAAATAACCAATAAGGATTACAAACTGAAATTTATACCAATCACATATACACAGTCATAAAAAAAAACAAGGAAATAACCAGCTTTAATATAATAACAATAATGTTATTTTGTAAATTAAAAATTAAAAATTATAGCAATCTTCAACCATCATAATTTTACACAGAATACCTATTATCAGGATTTATACCAAAATAAATTAATACATATAACAAAATAAAATAAAACACCAACAACCACTTTTTAGTTCAAGCTACCACCACTATAACTACATTTATGGTTTTATCATTCTCCCACCACCATTACTAATCATTTCTACCAACTTACAATAACTATTAGCTAATTATATTATCATTGTCTCCAATCCCTTACAACATTACTATCACATCATATCATATAGACCCGCTATAACTATTAACATAAAATACCCTCTCACCTAGCATATTAAATATTAAATATCACCATATAAAATAACCAATAAGGATTACAAACCGAAATTTCTACCTGTTACATATACACAGTCATCAAAAACAAACAAATAACCAGCTTTAAATATAACAAATAAACCCCCTTTTTTTCAAAAAATTAAAAATAAATATAAATAATTTTTACCTATCATAATTTTACACAAACCCCACCACACGTATATACATACATGCGAGGAAATATTATTCAGTGGAAAAATAAAAATATGACATGTATACATTCACGAGACATTCACAAGAAATTTTCGCTACACTTCCAATCTTTGAATTTCAACATACAAATGCGACACAACACCACCCGTATACATACATATGTCATATCTGAAACTGCCCACATATGTTTATATATGTATGAGTCCCGACGGACGACAAAGTATGTATATGTGTCTGCGTACTCCATTAGGCGTATGAACATACATTGATGTTTGCGTTAGTACGATGACACAACGACGACGTTTTCCCCACCACTTCCATAATAACACTAATACACGCAATCTACATAAACCCAAAATTTTTAAAAAATTAATCAGTTTGTCTGACGATCGCTAAAGCGTGAAACCCAGGGTCACAAACTCACATCTATCCAACCACATATATATATATATATATATATATATATATATATATATATATATATATATATATATATCTATATTGAAAATGCCATAAGCTGATTTCTGATCTGAGGTCTCTGTTTGGGATCCGAAAGAAATGTGTACCAAGCAAGAAAAATAATTTTTAATAATAATTGTCATACAAGACAACAACTATTGTTACTAACTTACATGGAAACAACAAATGACTTTAAAATTAGTGAAACAACATGAAAACAGAAAGAAAAAATATTCAATAATAAAAGAAGGCAGTAAATACAAACAACATTTACATTTAGTAGATTCTGTAGTAAATCAAAACAGAAGCCAAGAACCAACTATTGCAGCAAAAGATATGAAAAGAAAGCCAAGGATAAAGCCCTTGAACAGATGAAACAACGCTGGCAAGACAAACCCTCTGTTTAATATCCAGAACGTGCAAATAAACCCAATGTTGATAAAGTTAATACTATCGATGGTTACGAGCATCTGGATTAAAGTCTGAAACTGAAGGCTTTATTCTTGCAGCGCAAGACCAGAGTCTTTTCACTAGGAATTTTCAGGCAAATATCATACATAATAATGTGGATCCAAAATGCAGGTTCTTAGACAAATACCAAGAAACAATAGACCATCTAATCTCAGGATGTTCTATACTAATCCCAAAATGAATATAAAAATCGTCATTACTTACAAAAACACTTTGGAAAAATGTGTAAGCAAACACTGGTATGAACATCGGCCAGCGCCGGTTACAGAAATAGAAGATGTCACCATTCTATGGGATTATACCATCCACAGACAGAAAAATTGAAGCAAATAGGCCGGACATTATTGTCAAAAAACCAGAAAGAAAAAACTTGCCTACTAATTGATATGGCTTGTCCAGCGGATTGTAACATAGCAACCAAGGAATTTGAAAAAACTATCAAAATACAAAAAGACCTGAAATTGAAATAGAAAAAATGTGGAAATTGAAAACAAGAATAATACCAGTGGTAATAGGTGCATTGAATTATAAAAAATGGAACAAAACAACACATTGAAAGAATCCCTGGTCTTATTAAGTACAGCACACACACTAAGGAGAACTTTGTCTATGTAACGCTAGCAACTTCATCGGAGATAAAAAAAAAAAAAAAAAAAAATTAACATGAAATGTGGCCATAATAACACACCACGACCTGCCTTAGGTCTTTCCGCAGACTTGGTAGGTAATAGCAAAATCGAATGATGATGAATAATAATAATAATAATAATAATAATAATAATTAATGATATATAAAGTCCTAGGCTATGTCTGTCTGTCTGTTTGCTATTGAACTCCTCCTAGGGGTTTGGAGATAGACCCCCATAACCATACATATTCTGAAACTACATTACCCAGGGTAATTGGATAAGCGTATTTCATTTTAATCAAACGGGGTCCCCGAGGAGCACAACCCCACCACCACGACTGAATTGTTTTCCCTGTTTGAACAATGGAATGACTCATATCCAAAATATGGAAGTAAAAATCCAGAAGATGAAGGTCACGTCGGCAAGATCATTGAGTAATATAAAAATGCATCATTTTTCTCCACAAGTCATATTTAAAATCAATCATCATTTTCTTACAAAAAAGATGTGCGATACGCAGTAAGGCGCGGGTATTTCGCCTCATAATAATAAATAAGGAAAAAAAGAGACTGTCAGCTTGAGGACGTGGGTGGGGTGATGAGAATGAGAGAAATGAGAAAAATACCAAGACCTTTCATGGGAGCTGAAAAAGATATGGAACAAGAAGATAAAATGGTGCCAATAAGGTGCACTTGAAACAGTGCCAAATAAAAGAAATAGAATCGATTGGAGAAGATGGAAATTTCAGGTAAGGTGGAGGCTATACAGATCACAGAATTCTTTGCATCTACATGGATACTGCGACCAGTGCTGAAGGCTCGTTACTCAGTCCTGAGAATATGCAAATGAGAATAGGCAAATGAGAGTATGCAAATGATAATATGCAAATGCTTAAATTAATCATAATGCCAATATCCAATTCAATACTCAAGATTTACTTGTCAGCTGCTTGACCATTTGGGCGTGTTCTCTAGATGTCGGCACACTCTACATATTTGTTCATAAGAAGGGGTAGTTGGTGAGGGGTAGCATCATGGAGGGCGTCATGTAGATAAAACGATTTATGTGTCACACCTAAATACTGTCAATTAGTGTTTACCCGATCTAAAATTAATTCTAACTGGGTTCAAACATTTTTTTTAAATTGGTATCACCCCATGCAAAGCAGTAAAGGAACTGAGACACAAGAGGTTACAAGGTGTGGAAGAATTAGAAACGGAAACATTAATAATGAACGGGAAGAGGAAAGAGTAATCGGGAGGATGGAAGATAGCGATTGACATTGCATTTAAATTTTTGCAGATTATCATTGGCTGGAAAGCATGGAGCCGTAAGGGAGCTCCACAAACGAGAAGTTTAACCTGTAATGTATACGCCATTTTTTATCACC